TGGTGCAAATAGGCCCCATGATAGTTTGCTTAATTTTGCATATAAATCTCCATAATAGTTTTGGAGAAACCTGTTGACACAGTCTGATAATGCTTTGAGGCCTCGAAGTAATTTGTTAACATATTCATGATGATCAATTTTATGCGTACTTGCAGTATTGGAGCTTGTATAGGGAAGTAAATTGTTTCTGGTATAAGCTCCAAAATGTTCGATAAAATTGGTCCAAAATTGATCACTTTGGTGTGAATGATTTTCTAATAAATGAAAGTAGTATTAATTTACAATATTAGTTGCAAGTATAATAGCATTATAATCATCAAGTTGCTTTAAGTGAACCAATGTTTGACTACTTAAATCCGTAATACACTCTGGTTTGGTTAAATGTTTGAATTGGACCAGTTTACTTATCAATTGGAGATTATTACATGCTGATATGATTAGCTGTGTCTTTTCTTTTTGAGTTTTATATGCAGTAGCTATATCAAAAATGTTTTGAAAATCCTTAATACTTTGGATATCATGAGCATGCTGAAGTTTTTTCTACAACAACCTAAGATGCTGTCGTACATGCTTTCTTTTTAATAAACTATCCTGCCTCGTCAAGCCTAACCATTGGCCAAAAGCAACCCACAATCTCTCATTAGTAGTACTAGGTGATGATTCCTCAATGCTGACATTAGTCTCTTTAATAATATCAGTATAGATTAGAGAAAAAAAATCTGATGGAATCTCAGACAACTCAAAAGAATTGCTGTTAGAAAATTTTGCTTCTCTAATTAGAGTTTCAATTAGCAATTCTCTAGCTAATATATTATACCAAGTTTTATTTTTTTTGGATGATACCTGATCTGAAGAACAAAGAGAAATACTTGTCCACTCCTTCTCCAAATAATAAATACTATCATTAGTAGATATTTTTCAGGAGGCAGATTGGATTTGATGCCGAGATAGATCAAAGACAATATCATCAGTTGCCAAAGAGATATCAACATCCAGCTCATGAAGCATCTTAATTTGATTTTGATCATTGTTAAATTTTTTGTTTTTCGTGCATGTGCCTGTTTTAACAATTTGGTCT